TGAATAATTATGGATTGTATCCCGAGTATTTGAATGTTATGTTGAGGCTCTGAGCCATGTTGGAATCCTGGGAAGAATGTTGTTTTCTGTTTTAGCGGGCAGTCGTTCTAGTTTTGTTTAGTCAGTAATTACCTACCTGCCTTCTTCGGGTTACGATCAAGTTTTACAGCCTTTGCAGTGGGGGCCAACAGGTGGTGTGGTGGTTAAGGCCACTGGACTCCCACATGAACTGCAGTTCCAGTCCCTTACCTGGCAGCTTACTTTCTCATTTTTTCTCTCTCTCACTCTGTCCCTCTCTGGTCAAATTTAAATAAATAAATAAATTGGGGCTGGCAGGTGGTGTGGTGATTAAGGGCGCTGGATTCCCACATGGCCAACTGCAGTTCGAGTCCTGGACCTAGTGGCTTTCTCTGTTGCTTTCTCTGTTGCTTTCCCTCTCTTTGTCTCTCTTACTCTGTCTCTCTCTGGTGAAATTAAAATAAATAAATGAAATTAATAAGCTAATTCTTTAAATAAAGTTAAATAATTCCTTTTTAAAAAGAAAGAAGAAAAATCACAGCAGGTACGTGTGTGAACGTGCCCAAAATCCCAGGAAGAGTGGAGAAGAAGGGGTCGCAGTATGACCATCCCGCCCTGGGGGCAATTTCTCCCTTTCCTTCTCCCTGTCTCTCTCTGGTGAGTACACATGCCCTATGGCAAAAACCTAAAGAAGTAAAAAATTTTGAAAAGCCTTTGCAGTGCTTTCAGATCAGTCCTGTGCATGTGCCACCCAATAGGCAGCCTGGGGCTGGGCAGTGAGCTACCCCATAGTTCAGTTCTCCAAGTTTTCGGCCGCTGCCCAACGTCAGAAGCACACGTGCAAAGCTCAGGGATGAGCCCGGGGCGTCGTACGTGACTTCGAGAGATTGTTTTCTGGCGTTCTCCCCCACTGTGTGGTGAGGATAAGCCAGATTCCTTGGTCTGAATTTTCATACTCACTTCTCCAGACGAACATTAGAATCATCCTGTCCGGGGGCGAGGGAGGGGTAGTCTAATTTGATTCTCATGGGGATTTCATTTCATTTTAGATTTGGAAGAAGTAACCTTTTTATAATATTGGTTTCTTCACTCGAGACACAATATATCTTCTCTTTGTTTATGTCTTCTTTTTATGAAGTTGCAGTGTATTTTTTTTTACTTTTTTCATAAAATCCTTGCATTACTTTGGCTGTATTTGTTCCCAGGTATTTTATTACTTTGGTTACTATTGTGAAAGCAGTTTTTTTAAAATAAAAAACTGAATCATTTATTGTTGCTATGTAGAAAAGCTACTGGTTTGGGCGTACGTTGTAACCAGCTGCCTTTCAGAACTTCCCTTTTTTGTTTTATGAGGTGATTTCCTTGGCGTCCTGGACATCAGGACTTGTGGATTCAGTATTTCAGACTGGTTTTCTGCAAATAGTGTGAAACCTTTCTTTTTTTTAAATTGTATTCATGATAGCATTTGCACAAGAGCTAGAGACAGAGAGGGGGGCTGAAGGAATGACCCCGACAGGCTCCTATTCCTGTACGCTCCCCTTTCTCCAGTCCTCCAGTTCCTCAGGATCCTGGGCCCCATTTTAAGAAAAATTATCAAGTACCTTGTCCAAGGACATAGTGATTTGGTAGCAAAGTTGGGCTTTGAAAACCTCATGTAATTCTGGATCTTGTGCGAGTTATCTGTAGTTCCTGCAAACTGGCTCTGGGGTGAGGCATGAAGCAGAACCCGGGAAGGGCTCCGGCTCCCGTTCAGTGGGTGCGGCCTCCTGCACTTCTGGTCCCTTCCCTGTCCCTGGAGGGGCCTGTGGGGGCAAGATGGGCAGTTTCTGTCAGACTTCGGAGGTCCTGTGCCTCTTCCACACTGCGGGTCCAGGTTCTTGAGGCTAGATAGCTAGAACCACCTAAATGTGCCAGCAGGGGAATCCAGCTGTCATCACAAAGCCTCGTGGTGTTGCTTAATGCTCTGAAAACGCACGAAAATAAATATCTGACACTTCCTGGGCATCAGAAGCTGTCCATGCATTAACTAATGTGTTATAATAGACTTACAGGATAAGTGCTATCCCCATCTTGCAGGAGAAACTAAGAACTAGGCACGGTTAGCAGGGTGGGGCCCCATGAGTGATTGCTCATGGGTTTATAAGGACAGGGAGTGAAACCAGAGGACAGACAGTGTCATGGACACAGACATGCGCACCGCTGCCCTCTTGCCATGTGATACCTGGCACCACTTCAGGACTCTGCAGAGTCCCCCTCAAGCAGACTCACCAGATGTGGTCCCCAGACCTTGGACCTCCAAAACCATGAGCTAAATAAACCTCTATTCTTTATAAATCACTCAGTCTGTGGTATTCCGTCGTTAGCACCAGAGAAGCAGTAAAATATTAATGAAGGGAAGGGGAGGGAATGAACCAGCGTTACTGTAACTCAGCTCTTCTGCTGGAAAGAATGTGAGGCTTTGCTCGCATTCATCTGCAAGTATCGCCGTGAAGGAAACCTTTCCCCTGGTGTTCCATGCGAGTTTTCCACTCGCTTTGCCATTGGTTAATACTGCGGAAGAGGCTACAAGTGGGTGGTTAGGAATAGTGGATAGATGTCAGCAGGTCCCTCATACTGGTCAAAGAAATGCTCAAAGGAGAAAAATGATGTGTCAACACTGTAGTCCAATGAACAAAAAGCTCTTTGCCTGGGTGGCTCTATTTTTCTCGTAATTATCAAAAGGAAGTTTAGTATCCGGCACTGCAAATTCTGAATCAACAGGGCTTTCTGTAGAGTAAGTCCAACTCCAGCGTCTGTGAGGCTTCCTTTCATTACTGTAGCTTTACGGAGGCAGTGTGGGTTGTCAGGAGTTCCTGCTGCATGATGGACAGCCAGGACGCCTCTGTGAGAAGAGGATCAGCTTCTATGGGGAGAGAAGCCAGGATGCCAGACCCCGGGAATGTCTAGAGATGCTTATCCTTGGTTCTCTCCCTGTGTACAAACATTATTATCCATACAGGGACCTAGAGACTTTTACGGAAGCTAGAGGTTTATAAAGAAGGTTTAATTCAAGATTATCAAAGGATAAGAGTAAATCACCAAACAAAACATTTCACAGATCTTTTATGAAGAAAACCACCAGTGAAAGCTTAAAGAACCAAAGCATGTGAAATGCCCATGAAGAAGCTACCTCTAAGGGAAGGAATGTCCAAAATTCGAGGACTCAAGATTCCTGGAAGGTCAGGAGAAGCTCATTCAGATCCCTGAGCCCTCTTAATTCATTTTCAGAACCATCTCCAAAGAAGAGCTACTTTAAAGAGTATGCTACATGTGTTTTTAATTATTATTTGTTCATTCATTTTTATTTTGACCAGAGAGAGACAGAGACAGAGAATGGTAAAGTGAGAAAGCAAGCCACTATGTGGCAGTGTCCAATGCCTCAACCACCACGCCACCTGCTGGCCCCCATGAGTGTTTTTACTGTACCTTTCGTCTAATTCTTCGGAAATGGGCACTCCACCAACAGAAAGTTACTTTCATAGGACGTGCAGCTTCGGTCTATCTGAGTGCTGTTCCTGTCACTGCCTTTCAGACAGCAGTTTCTGAACAACCAACAACGTATCCGAGGAGGGAAGCAAAGAGTAACTTAAAGGCAAGGAGAAAAACTGAAGATGTAGGTACTTTGGTATGTTTTAAGCTAAATAACAATAATTAAATAATACAAGACCCAAATCCATTCTCTGTATCTTGATTCTTATTTATCCGACAACAAATATAAAGGTGGAATATTTTACTACTAGTTTGTTTGTTGTGCTCATGAGAGTTGATAGAGACAGAGAGAGGAAGAGAAGCAGCCCTAAGGGGCACGGTCAAGCCACAGTCCCTTCTCGATTTCTCCCTCCTTTTGGGATTTTGGGCACACAAGCACATGTGCCCAATGTTTCTCAAGCCACGGTGTCTGGGACTCAAATGGCATAGTTAGCCACGTGGGATCCAGCTGCCTTTACCCCCAGGCCATGGAGCCAGCCCTAGCTTGTTCTTACATACGTCTAAATTCCTGACCAAAATCACTTCCAATAAACTGTTGGCAACTAGGAGACAAATACAAAATATAAGTGTAAATATTCAGTGAGAAATTATGTTCATCACTACTTGGGCAATATAAAAGTGTAATTTAAAAACTTCTCTTTGGGGGCTGTCAGGTGGCTTGGTGGTTAAGGGTGCTGGACTCCCACGTGGCTGACTACAGTTCAAGTCCTGGACCTGGCAGCTTGCTCTCTCTCTTTCTCTATTCCTCTCTGGTCAAACTGGAATAAATAAATGAATGAATAAATAAAGTTAAATAAAATATTTATAAAAAAATAAACTTCTCTTTGTGGGACCAGCAGTTAGCATAATGGCTGTCACTGGGCTCCCATGCAGTCGCCCACGGTTCAAGTCCCGGACCCGGTGGCTTAAACTCACGCCAGGCACGTGTGTGTACGTGCCCAAGATCCCAAAAGGAGCATGGAGAAGTGATTGCGGTGTGGTTATCCCCCCAGGAGGTGACTTCTTGCTTTCTGTCTTTCTGTCTCTGTCTCTCTGGTGAGTGCACACACCCTGTAGCAAAAATCTCTCTCTCAAAAAAAATTCTCTTTGTAACCATCAAAGTTGCACAAAATACCCTTTCTCAAAGGCACAAATAAAAAGAAGGCAAGGCAGCCATAAATTTAGTGTATGGGACCACACTGAACCAAAGGGCACTGGACAGAGGTTGCTATAACCATCTAGGCTTGAGGCCCCAGACGCCAGCAGTTAACTCTGGTTGCTGGATGGAGGGGGGTGGTGGAGGCACCTCCGGGGCTGGCACTGGTGGAACTCAGCACAGTAGCTCCATGTAACAACCATGAGGAACTGCTCCAGGATCTTAGCAACTGGTGCAGCTGGACCAGGGTAAACTGGTGGAACAGCAGCTCTGCTTATAGCTTCTTACAGATCACCTTGATAAAAACAGATGCTGGACACACTATTTTCATTAGTTTATTATAAAAGAAAAATAAAACCCCAGATGACATCCTAATTCCTAAGCCCTCCTACTTGTTTGGTCTCCCCCACCTGAGACTAAACATCCTTCACAAACCCCAATCTCAGGCCACATACAACTCCAACTCCCTGGCTCCTGGCTGCACAGATCAGAGGGTCCCACGACCTGGACCATGGCCAGTGCAGTGGCACCACTCTCCAAGGTGTCCGAGCTATTTGAGAAAAACATAAATAGCTGCTAGCTCCTTCTAAATAGACAGTGTGACAGTGTGTGGACTGTTTCTGCTCCTGGGACTAAATCCCACACACCTTATGCTCAAGCCAGGTCTCACTATTACCATAGTTGACACCTGGGAAGTCCTGTACAATATTAACCAATCTGTTAATGCAGGAGTGCCACTATTATCCAGATGAGTCAAAATAAATGGCGAGGGTATCTTCTAAAAAGCCCACAACGGCCCTTTTGGCTGTGTCTCCAGCCAGTGCCTGGACACTGTTTAAATGCTTCAGAGCCATTGTGACCATCTGGTCTCGCTCCTGTGGGCTACGGGGTGCTCCGGTGTCATCCTCTTCTGCTCCAGATTTTAGAAACTGTAGGATATAGGACTGGATCATATCTCCATTCAGTGTAAGGGTTCTGTTGATACAGGGCAGGTCTGAGGCACTGGCCAAGCTCAGGAGGTGAATCAGAGCCTGGCAGATTTGGGTCCGAAGGCTGGCACAGTACTTAAATTCCAAAAAGTCTGTCGTGTCTTCACTCTTCTGTAAAGCGGTGACCAATGCGTCCCAGATCTGAGCGTACTGGTCAACAGACCCATACTGCTCCCTCTTGTTGGGGATTGAGAGGGCAGTGGCAGATCGGATGCGCACCTTGAAGTTCTTGCAAGATGTCACGACTGACGTCAGGGCATTGTAGGCCTGGGAGGTCCATGGGGCTATCCCTGAAAAGAATCCAAACAACCCATAGTCATTACAACAAATAACCCTCAGAAATAAGTGGGTGTGTGGGTGTGTGTGTGAAAAGGATACACGTACACTAATGCTGAGATAGTCATTTTATGTGTTTATTCAGTCTCACAAAAATCGTGCAAGGTGGGAACCAGCAGTTAGCGTAATGGCTATGTCGCTGGACTCCCACGTAGTCGACCGCGGTTCGTGTCCCGGACCCGGTGGCTTAAAACTCACGCCGGGCGCGTGTGCGTGCGTGCCCAAGATCCCGAGAGGAGAATGGAGGAGAAGGGATTGCGGCGTGACCATCCCCCCTGGGGGGTGATTTCTCGCTTTCTGTCTCTATGTCTCTCTCTCTCTGTCTGTCTGGCGAGCGCACGCACCCTACAGTGAAAATCTCTCCAAAAAAAAAAAAAAATCGTGCAAGGTCAGGACAGCAAGGGACTAACTGTGGGGTCCTAGTAAGTGGCAGAGGACTGACCCCCAACCGCCCTCTCCCGCTAGTCCAGGCTGCCACATGCTCAGGGCCCCTGCCATCCAATTAGGGCCTTTGGCAACTTAGAAAAAAGCTTCTTCTCTGGGAGGATTTTGTCCTGAGGCAGTAAAGCTTGGTGGGAGACGCAAAGACTGAATTGCAGCCTCCCCCCCACCAACCCCCACATCCTCTCAGCTGGGCGCTTCTAAGTTTTGTGCAACTGTATGCAGCATTCTTGTTGATGCTAGCAGAGAGCACTTTGTTCCCCAAGTTAGCATCCAGACACCGCTCTGCCCACAGCAAGTTATGCATTTTATTGCAAACAAAAGCTTCTACTTTCGGGGCTGGCAGGTGGCATGGTAGTTAAGAGCACTGGACTCCCACATGGCCGACCAAGGTTCAAGTCCCGAACCTGGTGACTTGCTTTCTCTCTCTTTCTCACTCTGTCCCTCTCTGGTCAAATTAAAATAAGTAAATAAATAGTTAAATAAATAAAATAATTTTTAAAAAAAAGCTTCTACTTTTAATAAGGTGCTCTTAAAAAGTGAATATATAGGGCCAGCCAGGTGGCATTAAGACAGCTGGATCCCACAAGGCCGACTGCATGTTCAAGTCCTAGACCTGGTGGCTTGGAAAATATGTTGGGTGTGTAAACGTGCAAGCCCAAAATCCTGAGAGGAGAATGGAGGAGAAGGGAATGCAGCATGGCCATCCCTTGATGGGGTGGTTTCTCACTTTCCTTCTCATTCTCTCTCTGGTGAGTGCACACACGCTATAGCAAAAACTAAAACTAAAATTAAAAATAAAATAAATAAGATGCCCAGATTTCTGTCTTGTCTTCATTCCTGTGGGCCCTAGGAAATCAGTCTATTTTTACTTTTTCCCTTACCAGAGCCACCACTACCCACTCTGCTCTGGGGTATTCGTATCCCCCAGGATAGGTGACAGAGTAGAATGCAGTTTCTTTCACTCCTCTAGCCTTCTGGATTTTTTCTTTTTCTTTTTCTTTTTTTTTGCTTCCTAAGATAAATGAGGAGGCCCTTTTCATTTTGTGGGTGCTACTGCCATTTACAAAGGGTCACTGTTAAAGGTCCCAGAACCTCACGCTCTGTCCCAGCACAATCCCTAGTCAGACTCTTGGCTCTCTTTTCTATGCGGCTCCTGATAGTGCTGCCACTCTATTCTTTGAACCGTCAAACCTCTCACTCTTTATAGTTTCCATTTCCCTCCAGGTCAGGCAGTCCTCTTTCTTCAGGTCAGTAAGCTGAGGGCAAGAGCCAGACAAGGCAGCCGTAGGAACTAACCATCACGGAGGTGCCCTGCTTTCAAAGACTTGGCTCTTCAGAAAGCAGACTCCCCACTCCATGAACTCTAGCTCCAAAGGTCATTTTTGGTTATTTCCTCAACAGAAAAGGCTGTGAGGCTCCTTCTCTACCAGCACCTGGCAGGCTGGGTTGCCTGGACACTATGGGCAACTGAGGGGAGCAGAGCCAGGTGCCCCTAACTTGATGCACTCCCTGCTGCTCCAGATGGAAATCTTGTCAGCCAGCCAGAACGCAAACGCTGGCACTCAAAGTGAATGGCATTTGGAGGCTACAGTCCATACACTTCAGCCACTGCCGGTGACTGAATAACACACCACGGTGCACAGCGTGTCAGCAATTAGAGGCAGACACCCCTTAAATGTAGTATCTTCCTCTGTGTCAAGAGCTCATATGGGGATTCCAAGCTTCTTCTTTCTCTCATTCCAGTTTTTTCCTTTATTTTTTCTTGATAGTTAAAATAATACACACTCATTGTAGAACATTTAAAAAATAAAAGCAGAAATAGGGACCAGCAGTTAGCGTAATGGCTATGTTGCTGGACTCCCATGTAGTTGACCGCGGTTCGAGTCCCGGACCCGGTGGCTTAAACTCACACCAGGTGCGTGTGCGTGCATGCCCAAGATCCCAAGAGGAGAACGGAGGAGAAGGGATTGTGGCATGGCCATCCCCCCAGGGGGGTGATTTCTCACTTTCTATCTCTCTGTCTCTCTCTGTCTGGCGAGTGCATGCGCCCTATAGCAAAAATCTCTCCAAAATAAATAAATAAATAAATAAATAAATAAATAAATAAAATAAAAGCGGAAATAAATCCTGTTCATCAATTAAACAAATAATTAGACAAATTTCCCCCCAGTCTTTTTCCTATTTGAGGTTATATTGTAGAAATGATTAAATATCCTGCTTTCGTTTTCTTAATATTAAAAATATTTTCCCAGATTACTGAGAACTCATCATTTTCTATGGCAACAAAAATATCCCACTTCCTATTGTTATAATAAATAACATTGCAACAAACCTCTTTAACAACATAGACTGCTGTGTGCTACTGGAAGAGACTATCCACCACAGAGAAAAAAACCTTTCTTACCTAATGGAAGGGCAGGATTTTTAAATACATTTCCCATTGCATAGCAAGCATTCCACCGGACTTTCATGGCAGCCTCAATCAGAACGGTGGAAATTAAAGCCTGGATAGACTCCTCAATGATTTCAGCAAATCTGGGTTTTTCTATATGTGAGGGTTGCAGAAAATGAAGCAAATTTCCAAGGGCCCGGACTGCATTGCTTTTTACCTAGAATAAAATATAAAAGCCTTAGAAATTTGTTTTGCCAGAGATAATTAAGAATGTATACTTTTAGCTTTAAAAACTCAGAAGGGGGGGACCAGCAGTTGGCGTAATGGCTATGTCACTGGACTTCCACGTAGTCAACCACAGTTCCAGTCCCGGACCTGGTGGCTTAAACTCACACCAGGCGCGTGTGCGTGCGTGCCCAAGATCCCGAGAGGAGAATGGAGGAGAAGGGATTGCGGCGTGGCCATAGGAGAAGGGATTGCGGCGTGGCCATCCCCCCTGGGGGGGTAATTTCTCGCTTTCTGACTCTCTGTCCTTGTCTGGAGACCGCACACTCCCTATAGCAAAAACCTCTTAAAAAAAACAAAAAAAAACTCAGAAGTGGGAGGAGGGCAGCCAGATGGCATGGTGGTTAAGGCAGCAGGATCCCAAATGGCTGACAGTGTGATTTGAGTTCTGGACTCAGAGGCTTAGAAAAACACATGCCCAAATTCATGCCCAAAATCCTGAGAAGAGAATCAAGAGATTACAACAAAGTCATCCCCACTGAGAAATGCTTTCTCTCTGCCTCTCTCCAGCAACCATGTGTATCCTATAGTAAATTAAAAACAAAAGCAAAAACAAGTCAGGATGTCCTAGACTTCTTAAAAGCAAAAAGGCTGAAATATGCAATCTGTAAAGGTACAAGCCCTCAGAATTCTGCCAAGTCTTGTCTGGTTAACATTCTGAGCCATCAGAAGGATGAGGTCTGGGCTGGTCCCATAGTGCAGTGGTTAAGCACTGTGCCTAGGGAGCTGGATCCCACATAACCATCCAGAGTTCAAATCCATGCCCTGGGGCACATGATAAACATGTCAGGCACATGTGCATATATACCCAAAATGCTGACAGGATAGAGAAATGTAGAAGAAAGGAATGTAGTATGACAATGCCCCATTGGGAGGTGCTATTTTCTCCCCTCTGGTGAACATGTGTGCACTCTAGTAACACAAAATTAAAATACTGGGACCAGCAGATGGGGTAGTGGTTATATAGCTGGACTCTCACATAGTCAACCACAGTTTGAGTCCCAGACCCAGCAGTTTAAAACTCATGCTGGGCATGTGTCCATGCGTGCTCAAAATCCCGAAAGGAGAATGGAGGAGTATGGTCATCCACCCTGAAGGATGATTTCTTGCTTCCTGTCTCTCTGTCTCTCTTTGTCTCTCCAGCAAGTACACACACCCTATAGCAAAAAAAATCTCCCTAAAAATAATAATAATAATAATAAAACACTAATTTTAAAAAAAAAGGTGAACTTCTACAAAGCTCCTCTCCCTGATTTTCTTAAGTGCTGGACTGAATCTGACAGAGGTCCATCATCCTCATTTCACAATGATGGAATATAAAGCCCAGGAATAATAGGACAAAGATAGTTTGAGGGACCAGCAGTTTGCATAATGGCTATGTTGCTGGACTCCCACGTAGTCGACCACGGTTCGAGTCCCGTATGGACCTGGCGGCTTAAACTCACACCGGGCACGTGTGCGTGCATGCCCAAGATCCCAAGAGAATGGAGAAGGGATTGCGGCGTGACCATCCCCCCTGGGGGATGATTTCTCACTTTCTGTCTCTCTGTCTCTCTCTCTCTGTCTGGCGAGCGCATGCGCCCTATAGCAAAAACCTCTCCAAACAAACAAACAAACAAAAAGGGTAGTTTGTAACAAGTCTAGGAGGAGAAGCTAAGTTTCACAATTCTAGCCCAATACTTTTCTACTAAATGAGAATGTCTCAATTTCTGTAGCATACTAGCGTCACCTGGGGGGGTGGGGAGAGGTCTGTATTTGTTTTAAACTAATTTTCAGGCCCTATCCCTCAGAAAATTTTGATTACTCTGATGTAGTATATCCCAGATGACTATGAGATTTTCAGAACCACAGCACTAAATTAAATGCTTGGTATGGGTAGGTCCTATGCAAGGTAATTAAACATAAGGCATCTCTGAATACAGTGAAATAAGTATATGCAATGACTTCCTTGTTACAGGTGAGAAAACAGATCTTCAGAGAAGTTAAGTAGAGCACCAAAGTCACTCAGCTCAAAGGGCCAGTTAGCACCTGACTCCATGTCTGCCTGACCTACAGCTCAGGCCAGGATATGCTCATCTTTCTGATCTGACAATTCTATTTAAAGATTTCTCAGGGAAGGAAAAAAAAAGATTAATATCATATATTATTACAAATGGACACTTATATTTTTCACGAGACAGAGGACAGTGAAAAAGCTGTGCAAGTGTGGAGTTGGGCTACTTTATGCCATGAGCATAACCCTCAGTCTCTTGTGAATAGGCACTTGGTGGGATAGTCTAAGGAACATTCCACCACACTAAGCTGCCAGTTATGCTGCAATTACAACATGCAAAGTAAAGAGAAATGCTAGGTCTTGCAGTCAGTCTACCTTGTCTTTATCCTTGGATGCTTCTATAGCTGATCGCAACATTTTCAAGAGCAGGAGACCCGAGAACTCTTCCTGGAAACTTGGGTCTGATGTTTCCCTGTTTCACCCAAAACAGACAGATGTTAAAAGGCACAACTCAAATATATACAAATAAAAGTATATTCTCTTAGTACAAGTATAAAAACTTAAGGAAAACATTTTAACAAACCTATTTTATACTAAGAATTTATAGTATATATTTTTGACTTGGTAGTTCCACATCTAGGAATGTATCCAAAGGGAGTATCTCAAAATAGATATTTCATGCACAAACATGTTCATGTATATAAAAGTCTATAAACCTAAAGCTTAAAATAACTTAAATGTTCAGGAATCAAATGATTAATCATCACAAAGTAATTTCTGTGCAATAAAAATAAAGATTTACAGAGTCAACAGTAAAGGAGAATGTTCATACATGTTACTTACACAGAGTTAAGTGACAAAAAGGAGGATATACATATGTACATCTTAATATAGTCCTAATGTATGACTTATATATATTAAGAACAGCTTATTAATCTTATTACCTAAGTGAAAATAAAACAAAACAAAGCAGGAAGCCTGACTATATAACGTGGAGTTATTACTATTAATTCTTTCAGAGGAGGAACAAAGCTATCCTCTTGGGACCTCAGTCTCAGAAGTCACCCCAGGAAAACAAGCCGAGTCCCCTACATGTTGACTATCAGAGTGTCTGTCAGGTTGCCCAGTGACCATGCTGCTTTGGCTCGGACATTCAGAGACTTGTCCTGAAGTGACATCAATATTGCATTTGCTGTGTCTGCAACAAATATGACATCCTATAAGAGAACAAAACACTGCAGTTACCTCATGAGTGCACATTGCTAGAAAGCCTTTCATGTAAATTTCTATCTGTAAATCAAAACTGATTTTGAAATCAACATCCATTTACTCAACTAGCAATTTTTCTTACATATGACAATTTAGACAGTAAGACCCCAGAGGAAGTTCTCCCATGGCTGTGGTGTGTGCCCCAGACACCAGCAGAGACTACGGATTTGCTCTGTGAACATCGTATAACTGGGCCTGTGACAGCTATCTATGAATTTCATGCTCGGGTGTTTCCACTTTGGGAAAAATGTACCGACAACGAATTTCTAAAACATGCCCTATTCACTGCATACCTCTCAGTGAGGTAAATGTCACAAAGAGGAAAGCAGAACTCCATTTTCTTCTTCGTAAAAACTATGTCAGCATTCTCAATTACTAGCAGCACATGGCACTGTCCCATTTCATTTTCATTTATCATTTACTGGGCAACCAGGGTCCTGAGCAGTGTGTTAAGTAATAAAGAATAACAGTAATGATAACAACTGCAGGCATTACCGTACTTTAGTAGAAAACTAGGAAACTAGATTACATGGTTTAATTTTCTTACTGTCCAACTGAGGAGCTCTATATCCACCAAAAAAAAAGGTGATACGGAATATAAAAAGGACATGGAAAGGCCAAACAGGCCTACTCTGACCTGTCTGAGACAGGGAAAAAGCACGTAGACACCAAGGGCCCGCGAGGTTGCAGCTTTCACTAAGCGATTCTTGCTGTCATTCAGCCCTAGCAGCATTGTGATGCACAGGATCTGCCTGTCGTTCTGCAATGAGAAGGGCAACAAAGGGAAAGTGAGAATGAAATAATGAGGCGCCAGCATCTTGTGCAACAACTGTAAAGTATCTGCATTTGAGTGCCTACTCGGGAATTGAACATTACCGTGGCTTGATCAAGAGCATGTTCAGTTCGTATTCAATTATCATCTGAGACCCACTCCCATCCCATTTATTCTTTACAATTGTGTGAACTAGGTCATTTGTATTTTTTATCTCATTAAAGACACCACCTTTTTATTCCTTTTTTTTTTTTAAGAGAGATTTTTGCTATAGGGTGTGTGCACTTGCCATAGAGACAGAGAGACAGCAAGAAATCACTCTCTGGGGGAGTGGCCATGCCAGAATCTCTTTCCTCTATTTTCCTCCTGGAATTTTGGGCACATACGCACATGCATCTGGCATAAGTTTTAAACCACTGGGTCCAGGACTCAGGACTTGAAACAGGGTTGACTATGTGGGAGTCCAGCAATATAACCATTATGCCATATAGTCCCAAAGGTGCCTTCTTCATAAAAGCTGATTTATGTAAGTAAGAACAGTTACAAATGTCACTGAGGACTAAAGAAGAAAGTAGTTTGGACATTGCTAAAGCCTAAATGTTGATGTACCCCCCAAATGCATATGCTGAAATCCTCATTCCCAAGGTGATGGCATTAAGAGGTGGGGCCTTTGGCCTTTAGGGGATTGAATCATGGGGACAGAGCCCACATGAATGAGATTAGTGGCCTTAGAAAAGAGGCCCCTGGTCACCGGGTCGCTCAGCTGGTTAGTGCAGTGCTGTAGAGACCCCAGAGAGCTGCCTTGCCCTCTCCAGAATGTGAGCACACAGCTAGGGGCCCTCTATGAACCAGAGAGTGAGTCCTCACCAGACTCCAAACTGCTGCTGCCTTGATCCTGGACCTTCCAACCTCTAGAGCTCTGAGAAGTAAGTCTCTGTTGTCTAGAAGCCACCCATCTTACAGTATTTATTTATTTTTTTTGAGAGTTTTTTTCTATAAAGTGCGTGCGCTCGCTGGAAAGACAGAGAGACAGAAAGCGAGAAATCACCCCCCAGGGGGGATGGCCACGCTGTAATCCCTTCTCCTCCATTCTCCTCTCAGGATCTTGGGCACGCACACACACGTGCCCAGCATGAGTTTAAGCCACCGGGTCCGGAACTAGAACCGCAGTCGACTACATGGGAGTCCAGTGACATAGCCATTACACCATCTGCTGGTCTCCTTATAGTATTTTATTAGAGCAGCCCAAACAACAAAGAAGAATATCATATGTGGTGGGCTCTGAGCCTAAGTATTTGTACATCCTTTATGTTAGGTCTCCATGATTCCCATCTTATCAATATAAGATTGTTTTTCAAAAGTTAAGATAGTCAGGGAACCAGCAGTTAGTGTAATGGCTATGTCGCTGGACTCCCATGTAGTCGACCGTGGTTCGTGTCCCGGACCTGGTGGCTTAAAACTCACGCCGGGCGTGTGTGCGTGCATGCCCAAGATCCCGAGAGGAGAATGGAGG